ATCTAGATCTGCGATTAATTTTGGCTGGACACTATGTCATAATTCTGGCCAATCTTTTGGGTATGTAATTTGAGGATCCAACCTAACGCTATGGTAGTGACCTGATGGTGTCATGGAACTATCGTGAAACTGTCATAGAACTGGCAGGGAGCTAGAAAGATTCTATTATTTTGCCAGTTTTATGCCAGCTTGGGTGCTAAATTATTATGTCCAAAGTTTTGGCCGAAATTGTGGAATAATATTAGCCGAAATTAAGCAAAAATAGACTGTGCCTTACTGCGCTAGTCACGTGATACTGTTCCAGCGACAGAACACCCTCACATAGTTACGGGCTAGTGACGGGGATGTTCTGGGAAAGTTTTCGAAACCCAATATATATGCATTTGTGTCACCTGATCGTATTTCAAGGATACGGTATTTTTTTGTATTCAGAATTGGAGGTGCACTATGCATTATCTTAGTCTAGCCTATTTGTTGCCAGTATATGCATGCCAATTTCGTGTCTGTAGTTGGAGATGTATTATGTATTATCATGGTCAGCCAAAAAAGTGCACCATATTGCAACCCGACTATTGCCTATTTGTTGCCGGTGTAATTATGCCAATTTTGCGTCCCAAAGTTTGAATTATTAGAGTTCATTCATATTGTATTTTCAGTTGGTTAGATGCAATATGTATTACCATGGCCGGCCCAATATTTTATATAAATTACGGAGAAGCCTTCATGCTATACTCGAGTACATATCTAGGTAGGTGAAAGTTTCTGCCAATATTTTTATAATAGATTACGCAGAAGCCTTCGTTTTTAGATATATATCCGCTTGCCTTTCTTTTTCAATTTTCCATCTAAGTTTGCTATCGCTTCTTTTTTTCGCGCATTTGTCTACCCTAGATGTCATATATGCTCGAGCACATACTAGTGTTAGGGTAGCCTTCTGCCAATATTTTATATAATGATTACGCAGAAGGCTACCCTAAATATCACCTATTAGAAATATATTTATTCGCGATTTGCTTGTCAGCTTGCTATGTAGTTTTTTGTATCTATCGAAAAAAAAATAAATTAAACATTTTCAAATTTTATAAAGTTAGTATAACTTTTCGAACTAACATCATGCATACACCAACTAATTTTGACCAAACTGATCGCACTGGAACTCTCACCCGCTACGATAGCGCTGGCCCTGTAACTGGTGTTCCATCACGTAATGATATTGTATCAGAATTTGATAACGGGATGACTGATGTACTCCAGCAACGCTTATCTGATAAGCAACCTATACACTTTATACCTACCACTGTAAGTGATGAGGCTAAATATATTAATGGACTATCCACCTATATTTTGCGTATTACTGGTTGTTTGATTAATAAGCAAAAAGCTATCGTGAACGTTATGGGCATTAAGCCTTTCTTTGATATCGTAGTACCTGAAAATATACCATTATCTATGTTTAAGACCAGATTAGTAAATATATTATCCAATACTCTCAAAGGTACATCAAAATTTAGGATTGAGAATATTAGTGCTTTCCCACTTTAAGGGTATTATACAGAGAAAAAATCATATATACGTGTTATTACTTGGAATCAATTTGACCGGTATAATGCGTTAAAGGCAGTTCGTGAAGTCGGTATCTGTACAGCTTCTGATGATCTAACTCCAATATATTATTACTGCAAAGTAGCCTGTAAAAAAAGATTACCTCTTTCAAATTGGGCAACATTAAGTAATTATTTCCACGAATATATTCAAGGGAGTATTTATCTCTTCCAAGTTTCTGTGAATAATTACAATCCAACAAGTGAGGACGATTATAATAATCCATTATTCTCCTCAGCTCTTTCATGGGATCGAACTCTTGTTCTCACATGGGACATAGAGACATATAGTTCGCTCGGACTAGGTAAATTCCCTACTGCTCAGAGCGATGAATCTAACGTATTTATGATCGGCATGTCAGTTCATTGGAAAGATGACCCTAAACCATTAAAACGGATCTGTCTTGTTGATGTTGAAACCGCCTAAGACCCTCGCTAGACCACAATTATATGTGGAAATCAAGTAAATCTGTTAAAAGCCTTCGCCTTGTGTTGTAAACTACTAGCCCCAGATATACAAATAGGTTTTAACGATTCACAATATGACTGGAGATTTATTGTAGAGAAAGCGAAAAAGCTAGGAATTTTCGAATGGATGTTTAATCAAATGTCATTAAAGCCTTCAAGCCTCGAAAAAATTACAAAATGGTAATATTAGTATAATAAGATAAAAGTTAATGATAGGGATTTCCATTCGAAGCATCTTAAAATCCCCGGGTGCGTAGCTATTGATGTCTGATAATGTTTTATAAAATTCTATCCTAAGGCCGAAAAGAGCAGTTTAGTATATTACCTAAAGGAGTGTGAACTCAATAACAAGCTGGATATGCCTTTCCATCGTATGTTTAAATATTATGGAAGGGCATTAAAAGAAACCAATGCTACAACGGCCGAGCAGATGTGTAAAGTAGCTGAATATTGTATTATCGATGCTATTAGCTGTTAGCGGTTAATGGTAAAGCGTAATGCAATTAACGAGTATAGGGAGGTGGCATCCG